ATTTACAAACACCTAGCAGCCTCATTGAGATAAACCAAATGCTTACACTGTTCATACATATCTTTGCAAATAATTCAATATTAGTTGAAAAATCATCGAATTTTGGGCAATTAACAATTTCAGCATTTAATACTAAGTAATTTTAAATGGATGGAAAAGACATCTGCAAAAGAAACATATTGACTTTGAAGTGCTTTATGCCAAATGCATTTTAAAATAGCTGAAATAAAATGCTGACTGATGCTTAGGATATCGAAATGTTAAAGTCAATAGTTCGTTCCAGGGAAGAAAGTCAGATCTTCAACCAGTTGTGGTGGGTAAAAAACTGGTTAAACATAGATATTTAAATTAGTTTCTTTCAGTACTGGGGATTTATATATATACATATGTGTGTGATACATACAGGGCAAATGTAATTATCTCCGGTGGATTTTGAACTTTGTGTGCCCTTCAAACCATTTTTTCAGAGTATTCTAAATTGTAGTGAAATTTTAAAGAGTTTGTAATGATATCAACCGATTTTTTTGTCGAATTTTGTAAACTGAAATGAATTGTGCACACTTCGATTTTTTACGAAATTTCGGAAGAAAATCGGTAAAGAAATGAAAATAATGCTGCTATGTGAAGAATTTCTTGCAGAAGTTTCTCAGAATTTTCTTTATTTTTCGTGCAGAAATTTCTTTACGAGTTCGTGTCAACCACTTCATATAATTGAATAATCGTAAAATAAATCGTTACAGAAATGAGATACTCCTAAAGATTTCGTTAAGATTTCGGGAATTTTTTTAATTCTGATGCATATACATACAGTGTTGCACATATCATTTTGGACTAATTTATGTTTAGTTATGAATTTTTACGATTTATTCAATTAAAATACAGTTCATTCCTTAACAAATACCAAGCTTAAAACTTTTAGAACAAAGTTTCAAAGTATTTTCTCAGAAGTGTTAAATTTTTTTGAAGAATGCAATTTTATAGCCCATTAAATTTTGGCTGATGTGAAGGTTTCAAATGGATAAAAATTACCGTTGATTTTTTCGATTTTTGTTTTTTGCCTAAGGTGTTGCAGTTTCTTCCGTATAAACATAAATTGTGTTTATTCGTTATATGAAAGCAAATGCGCAAAAAGATTCTAAAAAATCTGCGGTAATTCTTAGCCATTTGAAACTTACATGTTATTTCACTAGAATTGAAAGGGCTGTAAATAAAATCGTATAGTTCAAAAAATTTCAACAAAAGTTTGAACAAAATTTTTTTTTGTTCTTTAGTGTTCTACAAGCTTTTCAATGAAATGAACTGTATTTTAATTGGAAAATCTTAAAAACTAATAAATATTTAAACATAAGTGGCAAACAATACCATTTTAAATTTGGTCCAAAACGATAATTCAACACTGTACATACTTAGTATTTATGTACTTATGTACTTACATATACCTCATGAAGTCAATTTAACGTAAGGCTGAAATCACAGTGCACACTACAAGTATTAGCACAGCTTTGAACGTGCGATTCTTAAATTTCGCTTTTAGTTTTGCCTTTGAGCTTTGGATATTTTATTATTTATTTATTTGCGCTTTTTTATTCACCTTTTCTATTTACCAAACGTTCGTCGGCGGTCTGCTAATGACGAAAAGACAAAAACTGCGTAAAGCACTAATGGGAGCAAACTTTAAACTTTTTTAAGTATAAAAAGCTTTTGTCTCAAAGCAAAAAATGTCAAAANAATCATGCGCAGTGCCGTTACAGTCTGTCTTTGAACGCGGAGCCGTTAAGATCGACCGACTAGAGCTTAAAGCGAGGGAGAAAAGCTAATATTTATATGTATATTTTCATTCACTTTGATTGATGATTTATTTGACAGCCTGCAAAGTGTTATTTCATAGCTTTTGTTTTCGTTGCAGTGGCTACTTTTTCGGGTGATTTTTTTTTTTTATTTTTTTTAACGAGTGTGCGTTGTTAACAAACCGTTTCTTAAACAGATGTGCTCATTTTACGCATTGGTTTTTTATCAAATAAATATATCAGTTATTGTTTACTAAACATTTAAGTGTCGAAGTATAAAACTATTCTCACAACAAAATGGCTGATGTGATTGAGAAGGTAAACGCCGCTGAGTGCGAAGAAATCGCAGAGCTTGAGCAAAACAAAAGCCAAATTGAAAAACGGGTGAGTTAGCAGAGGTTAAACGAAACGGAGCAGTGGGGTGACAAAATATGTAAAGCAGTTTGTGTGTACCTATAGTATTTTGAAGTACAATAACCATTAAATATATGCGTATAACAAACGGGTTATGCCAGCCGCATTTAAAGGGAAATAATCAAATTTCACAATTGAAAGTGTGCCAAAACCGGACTGTTGACAATCTAATAAAATAACTTATAAGCTGAATTAATGAGTAAAAATTAGAGCTTTTGTTTTCAGATATTCATTTGCAACAGTAACTCACCCACCATTTTCTTTCTTTGAAGTCAAATTCACCTAAGTTTATTTTCTAAAACACCACACTTGTTTTACTTGTATGTCATTGCAACGTCACCTACAATTTGTTGTCAATGCTAATCACGATTTTTGTAGCTTACTTCCGTACAAGCAGATTCAGCAAAGGCCTACAACGTTAATTAAATAAATTCTACACTCGTTTTAAAACCTTTTTTTAGCATACTATAAACGGTAGTCGCTTATTAATGAGTTTTACTGCAGTTAGTTTACCTTACTTACCTTGGTCAATAACCCTTGTTTGCATATAATTAGCTTTGTCTTAGAGCAGAAGCTCTGCCTATGTGAACTGCTGTCAATGATGTTTACGCCCCCCTCCTAACTACTATGTGTCTACTAATTTATTCATTTTGGGTGAGCCAAGGTTAAGTTGTCTCGGTGTTTTCTAAGCGATTTCTTAAATGAAAACCGGAACCATACTCAAAAAAAAGATAGAAAATCTGATTAAAAATTTGAAAATTTATTGAATTTTCGCTAGTTTTGCACAAAGTTTAGAAATTTCATTTTTATTTTTTTTTTTGTAGGGTGGACCATATTTTTATACAAAATCGCCGGAAAAATGTTAGAAATATAATTGTTGCATTTATTGTGGAACATTTGCTGTGCCAATACTTTGTTCCGGCAGTGTATGTACATACGCAAATATTTAATCAATAAAAATAGTATTTCAATTTTTTAAATTTCTTCAAAACTCATAAAAAATAAAAAAAAAGCTTGCTGAATACAAAGAATTAACTTGGTGGGCAAAAGAAAACTGCGTGGTGTACTTTTGCCACAAAAAAGCTTCTTATAAAAGCCATTTGCGTTTGGAGACGGATACATTTATACTCGATTGTTCACGCTTAAGACCATAACAAAAAGTTAAAAACTTCGTATTTCTTAGTTTTTGACTTTTATGGCAGAAGCTATATCTAAAATTTACCAAATAGATTGTATTTATTTTAAAATCTTTTGTATGTCTGTTGAAATGTAGTTTATAGACTAGTAAATAAGCTTCTAAACCGTTTGAGCGCGAATTCCAAAAAAAAAAACGGGGAGTTGACACTGAGCCGATATACCGCCAAAAACACATGCGAAATAAGATTATATAGATTTTAAGATGGAAAACTCAGGAAATATAAATTCGCTGAACAAAAAATACCTTGACGTATCAAATGGACTTTGAAAATAGCTGCTTTCCTTTTTTTGACATGAAAACCGTATCCAATGAAATTTTGAAAAGTTTTAAACACATTTTTTTGCTGTACTTGCATCAAGGAATCCATTTCGATAGTCACAGGCTCCGAAAAATACATTTCAAAGATTAAAAAAAATGAATATTCTATTTTGAAGGACATTTAATAGGTCTCCTTGAACACAGAATTACCATTATCTTAAAAATGATCTTCAAAGGTAAAAGCTTTGATTTTTAGCCCTTTTTTTTAACTGAAAACAGCATGTAGTGAACTTAAAAAAAAAAAAAGCTTAAGGTGCGTTTTTCGATTTATTCGACAATGAACGCTGATTCCTTGAGACGGAAGAACGGCAAAAATATATGTATTTAGCAAGTCCCTTGCATACTGCTTTATAATCAAAAAAGGAAAAAAGAATACCCTCTATTTCTGAAAGTCAATGTAATTTTTCACCCAACGAGATTATTTTTTCTGAATTTTCCATCTCAAAATAAATTACAATAACGTTACATTTATTTCGCTTTTTGTCCTAGTTCTCGACAGATTCAAATTTGTCGCAAAAATAGTACATTTAGCACACTATTGGCCGCTGTGGTATTATTTACATATATACAAATATATAATGCAAATCGAATTAAATTTAGGAAACGTTTTGGTTGCTGAAAATTAAATACTTTAATACCATTTACTCGAAGCGTAACGCTGGAGTCGATATAAGTACTACAGTTCTAAATATTGTAATTATGGTCGGATTTTATTGAAATTAAATGCAAAATAGTTACGTAAATAGAAGCATTATAGTCCAACATTAATAAGTACGGACTATGAAGGCCAAACGAGATTCAAATTCAGAACGAAAAGCGAAGGTCCCTATTTATACTATCGCACCTCAGTACATAAAGTTCGAAAGTTTATTGACAACTTTCCGAATTATGAATTAATTGACTAGAAAAAAGTAGTTTTGTGTACCTTTTGTTTAAGGCAAAGCATTCATTTACGCCTATTTTATGTGCGTTTAGTCGCTTTAAGTCTTTCAAGTTACGCAGTATTTTCATTTCGAAAGTTATAGGAAGGAAGTTTTTACGCACATTCAAAGTTGTGAATATAAAGCACCTTTTTAACAAAAGCTTACAATTTTACAGGGGCTAGGTTTTTTTTTTGTTTTCATTGGGTTACATTTTTTGGTGCTGAAATTGAGCGATCAGTGGTTTAATGTACATACATACATATATACACGTTTACATGTATGTAATTGCAAAAAAGGGTTAAAGTAATTGGGCGTTTTTGAGCTGTTGAGATGCCTTGCAAACTGAAGTGAGAAAATTGTTTCGTAAAAGAGTAAAAATATCCAATTTCGTTGTAAAGTTGTGAAAAATGTTTTTTTTTGGAATTTTGTTTAAATGCCACACAGTGTTTGTTGCGCGGTTAATACAAGTGCTAGTTGTTGTTGTATGAGTGATTTACTGCTGCGGTTATGAAAAGCTCACATTTCAAGTTCATTCTTGTGTATATGTAAATATTTAATTAGTTTTCCATCTAAATCTGTCAGAGTTTTACCCTTCTGATTTGTATTTAAATCCATCTGTTATTAGAAATAGGAAAATTTCTATTGCATTACGTTTGTAATCAGCTTTTGTAATTAGATTTGCCAATTATTCCATCAAGCAATAATGAGACATGCTGACATATGCACTTGTAAGGTAGAAATACTAGTAGCTGCAAATGTGTTTTAATCGAAGCTCATTATTCATATTTTTTTTTTTGTGTTCAGATATTTTAATTAAGAGAATTAGGAAGAACTAACATTTTGCATACCGAGGTAGCCTAGTGTTTTGCGGCTTTAACTCTTACACGATGGGAGCTGGCTTCGATTTCTCGAGAAATGGTTAAACCTTGATAGGCAATGACGAACCCTCGAGTGCATTTCTGCTTTGAAAAAGCGTCTACCATTTGTAGGTGGTGTATAACTTTAGACCAAAATTTGTACGAGGAGCTAGCACAAACGCAAAGTAAAAATGTGTGATCACCAAATTTTAATTTTTTATTCGCCATTTGTCAGCTACATTCAATTATTCACATATCTGGCAATCAATCATCAACTTGCCAACATCAACAACAATACTTTTTTTTATTTAAGATATAATCATGCATTTCATAAAGATGTACATACATACATACATATGTATGTATGTATGCCGCTGTTGTGCAAACAAATTTTTTTCGTTCCATTGTAACATTTGCCACTGTTTTCATCATTCATTGCCAGTCAACATTTGGTCACAAGTACCGAAACCAGTTTTAATTTTCTTTATAAAATACCAAATTTTTGTGCGCGTCGCACCAAGCAAATTGCAAAAACAGAAAATTGTTTACCCCAACAAATGTTTATATGTATGTATGTGCTTATTGTCTTTTACCAATACTTGACTGTTGACATACATACGCACACTCTTAGCAATATATATTAACTACAAAAAAAAAAATAACTCTCTTTATCACTTTGTTATTCTTTTTTTCACTGCAGCCAACGGAGTATCCCAAATCGGTTGCATTCATTATCAGCAATGAGTTCTGTGAACGCTTCAATTATTATGGATTGCGAAGTAAGAATCAGTCAATGAACTCCGCTTACTTTCACCCAATACGAAAGCATTTATTTTTATTAACTTTTGCCTTTTTTATTAGCGATTCTCGTGCTGTACCTCACCACAAAATTGCACTACGACAAGGATACGGCGACCGTGCTCTTCCACATATTCTCCATGTTGGTGTATTTGTTTCCGATAGTTGGCGCCATTATCGCCGACAGCTGGTTGGGCAAATTCAGAACCATTCTATATTTGTCTATGGTGTATGCCTTGGGTGGCGTGATTGTATCGCTGGGTGCTATTCCATTGCTGCACCTGCCCGTAAAGTGAGTATTGCAGATGGAGCACATCTCAATTTCAGCAAAATAGAAAAGTTACGAAATACTAAATTTTTGAATTCTATTATTTTTTAGAGAAATCACTATACTCGGTCTGACGCTGATCGCGCTCGGCACCGGTGGAATTAAGCCGTGCGTTTCAGCATTCGGCGGCGATCAATTCCGCATGCCCGAACAAGCGAAACAACTGGCCACCTTCTTTTCGCTTTTTTATTTCGCCATTAATGCTGGATCCACCATCTCCACCACAATCACACCCATCCTCCGTGAGGATGTGCACTGCTTCGGTGATAAAAATTGTTTTTCATTGGCCTTCGGTGTGCCAGCTGTGCTGATGTTGCTATCCGTAGTGATCTTTGTAGCCGGCCGGAAATTGTATGTTGTTAAGCCACCTGCTGGCAATATGATATTCG